ATTTATTGTAGAACGAGGTCTCACCCAGGCTGGTCTCGAACCCCTGTAGTTGGAACAACCATGCGCCAGCACTCCTGGCTAATTTTTTGATTTGTTGTAGAAATGAGGTCTCGCCATGTTGCTCAGGCTGGTCTTGAATTCCTGGGCTTAGGCAATCCTTTCATCTTGGCCTCCCAAAGTGCTGGGCTTACAGGTGTGAATATATGGTATTTTTAACCATTCAAAGGCAGTTCTAGTCTGCCACTTAGAATGAAAGAAATCAGAATTTGGGGTCCATAGAGAATCTCTCTTGCATCCCCTTAGTGTACAGATGGGGAAACTGAAACCAAGAGAGAGGAAGGGACTTGCCTGTAAGCAGACATTGGGTTAAAAACCCAGGTTTTGTGGTGATGGCTGTTGATTATTCCCATTTTACACATGAGTAAACTGAGATTTAGAGATACAGTCAGCTTGTCCAAATCTACTCAGTGAGTCCACAGCAGAGTCAGAACCAAAGTTTAAATCTCTTGATTTTTAATCCGCTGTTTTTAACAACAGCAGCAGCAGCTGCTGCTGCTATCATGGGCTGAATTCCTGCCTTGTGCTAGGCGCTGCTAAACGCTAGGCTGGCCAGAGCGGAAGCTGGGGCAGGGGCCAGGCAAACACGCAGACACCTCCTCCTGCTCCTCTGAATTACACACTCCTCTTTGTTGACATCTTTGCCCCCCCCAACCTTGGGCGCCTTGGTGGGTAGTTGTTTTGCTGTTGGCCAGCTGTGTTGTCATCTCCCCCATCCCCAGGCAACTCCCCTTGGACTGTATTATTTACTGTAAAAACAATAATATAGCATCAGGAGAAGGCGGTTTTAAAAATAATCGCTCTAAGTCTCATCATCCTAGCCCAACAGCTGTTTTAATTCTTCTGTCTTCTTCACATCTCTGCCCATATGCCTGCAGTACACATTTTTGCACCCTTGTCATTGAGATGTAGAAAGCATTCCGTATGCTGCTTCATTTGCTTGGTGTTGTTACATGGGCTATGTTGTTTATAATTATGTTTATTGATGGTAGAAGTCCATTGAGTGTTCCCATAATGCCGAACTATTTGTTTCCAGAGCCCTATCATTATACATAATACTACATTGAAAAATTTAGTGCTTAGAGTTCTCTCATCTCTCCACCCCCAGAGTTATTTCTTTAGGACAGTCAGGCGTGGTTGAAGAAAAGGTTTTTGACCAACATTGCTTTAATGGTGGTACCAATATGCGTTGCTCCCAGCAGCTCATGTGTGCACACGTGTTCATTATTAATTACTGTAGCTGTTTGACTTCATCTTGTATAAGTCTCACACTTGATCTTCAAAGTGGGTGTTACTATCTCCATTTTTTAGTGGAGGAACCTGACATCAACATTCAAAGGAGGTTAAGTAGCTTTCCTGAAGTCACAGACTGATGCGGTGTGGAGATAGGATGTGAACTCGGGTGTACCAGACCCCAGTTCAAAGCTCCTTCCACAAGAAAAAGTTGGAACATTTCAGGATATTGTGTTCTCATTAACTTTGCTAAAATCAACATGCTTTGACCTAATTTAACAGATGTTAAGGCTACCCTCCTTGTTATTTTTTGTTTTTTTTTTTTGAGTTGGAGTCTCACTCTGTTACCCAGGCTGGAGTGCAGTGGTATGCTCACGCCACTGTAGCCTTGACCTGCTGGGCTCAGGTGATCCTTTTACCTCAGCCTTCCAAGTAGCTGGGACTACAGGCATGCACCACCACACCCGGCTAATTTTTTGATTTATTGTAGAGATGAGGTCTCGCCAAATTGCCCAGGCTGGTCTCAAGCCCGTGGGCTCAGCAATCCTTTCACCTCAGCCTCCCAAAGTGCTGAGATTATAGGCCTGAGCCCCTGCGCCTGGCCTGCTACCCTCCTTGTTTTAATGCGCATTTTGACCTCTGATCTCTGAGTGGCCTGCAGCCCTGTGGAATTTAGAAGGATGGGGCTTTGAGGTCCCCAAGTTCTGCTCTGCCAGTGTGTGTTGGCAGCTGAAGAGTGTGTGTGGGTGCCAGATGGTTTTGGAAACATAGAGAGACTCATGGATTCACACCCCTCAATCAACATATCAGTCTGTAGTCAACAAACTATTTGAGCTCCCTGGAACTGCCCAGATTTGATCAGGGTGGGGAGGGAGAGAAGAAGGAAGGGGCCCTTCTCTTCAAAGACCCCTCAGTCTAGTGAGGTAGATGGGAGGTAGTGCAGCTGCTGGAGAATGAGATGCCCGAGTATGAAGTTGGGAGTTTTATCTTCCAAGTCAGAAGTTGCTATCTTGGGCCCTGCAAGGTGGTTTTAAGAAGCTTGAGTAGGTTGCCAGTATTTAAAAATATGGAGATTTCTGAATTCCTGCCTTCTCTTGAAAAGTGGGAGGATCAATTAGCCGGGCATGGTAGCGAGCGCCTGTAATTCTGGCTACTCGGAAGGCTGAGGCGGAAGGATCGCCGGAGCCC